TTAGTTAAGTACGTACGTCGTCTTCGTCGTACGTACGTACGTAGTAGTATACGTAGTAGACGGACGGACGTAAGTAGAGACGTAGTGGTCGGGGGGGGGGGAGCCTTGTTAGTTGCGCTGCTGAGCCTTTCTTTGGCATGAAGAAGAGTATATGTGCTGGCCATGTCCTCCACATAAGATCCTCGAAACAGATCCAGACCGTTAATTGGTATTAACATCTGCAACGAGGGGGGTTCATGAGTGATTTGAACCAAACTATCCCTGCCCTATAAAGCAGAACGACCACGAATGAGTGCACCAACTGCTGAGAAATGCAGCTAAAAGATGCATGCCATCATGGCTATACCTGGCGTGTGAGGGGAACACTTGATGCCCCTCCCCATTATCATCATCATGATTCGTGGCGGGGACACTTGATCATGTCGAATTGGGCGAGGAGCCATGCGCCTCCACATCAATCACCGTCAGCCGTCTCGTTAGATTGACACGGCTGGGATGATGTTGGCTTGGTGGATGCTGTTCTGGGGCCGGGCAGAGATGGGTCCCAGTTGTTGCTACCTAGCATTCGCTAACGGGGCGAGCATGTCGGGTGATGGAACTGACGTTGTGACATCCCACATGGAGGGAATTGTTCTCTACCTAGGTATGGATTTAGATTTTGGTTACTCATGGTAAAAGGACGACCTGAAAAGCATGGATGCTCTATTTGTCAAACGGGGCACAGCATATAACCTTGCCTGTAACCTAGCTTGGCATTGATTGAGAGGAGACACCAGATGATCGACTTGAGCTGCCAGATCTTGGCTGATAGTGATAGCTGATAATAGTGGAGGACAACGATATGGGAGGGGGGAAAGACGATCCTGAGAATTGACTTGTTCAGGGTTGCGGCGGACACAACTTTCTCAGCAGGGGTCAGAGAAGCTCAACGTCAGGGGTCCATCCATGAGAAGAAAGGAAAATTAGATGGAACATGAGGTTACAGAAAAAGGCGTTTGGTGGTTGAGACGGGACGGACGGACGTTAGGTTTGTTAGAGGCTGCCCGTGCCAGGATGTTTCCCAGGGCAGTGGTAGACTGGTAGGTTAGTAGTTTGTTCTGGTGATTGTCAGCTCTGATACAACAAGGGAAACTTCAGTTCAATGAGAAGCACGTGGTGGATTGTTTCAACCTTAACAGACCCGGCCATGGGACATGGGAAGTCTATACATTGCGATGTCGCTTGGCCAATCACCGTCTCTGAATGTCACCTAGAGGATAGCTCCAAGGTAACCTTAGCTCACCTAATTAACGTGAACAGGCAGTTCTTGGACCAGATCATCCGCGCGGCTCGGCCCAAAGAAAAAACGATCCGCAGCGCCCAACTCTCGCATCTCCAAGTCCAACCTAAACCAATCCACTGAAACTTTGGTCCTGGGTTAGCAATTCCTTCACGAATCACACCCGACCTCATCCACCACCGAACCTGCCCGTCTTTGGCATTGCACTGTAGTAGAGTACCTCACAACTTCAGGACTAGCCTTATTTGCTTTGTCCATCGGTCTTCATTCTTCCTCCAATATCACACCATCACGCATCACGCATCAATCACATCGTTCTCCTCTCCTGTGACCTTGACCCAACGTCCACAAATCAAATCTATCTTCGCCCGCAAGTTCGATCAAATCGCCGCCTCCCCCACCTCATTACGGCACCCCTTCCAGCCACCAGCCACCTGTTCTGTCTCGTTCTGTTCTGCACTCTCTGGAACTGCTCTGCCAAGTCAGACGGTCATACCTACAGCCAGCCAGCCAGTCAGTCAGCGTCAGGTCAGCCTAGCAGCTCAGTTCAGTCAAGCTTTTGTTCGGGCTGTCCCTGTGCCTCCTCTGCCTGTCTCTGCCTGTTTCTTTGCCTCTTTACAGTACCATACATATCCTTATCCATTCCTAGGCTTGGCTTGGTCGCTTGCTTCCTTAGCTTGGGATCTCCTACCGCTGCAGCATCTCTTGTCTCGTCCCCTAGTCGATCCTGTCCCTTGGCCTCGGGTCATCTTGATCCTATTCGACGACCCTGACAATCATCCTCGGCTGGCTTAGAGCTTTGGCTTTCTCCTCCTCTACTGTACCTACGGATACCCTTAGGCCTTAGCACAAAGTCGCTCGTCCGCTTCCTCGCTCGCAAAACGGAACAGACTCCAAAACGACCCACCCCCCACTACAGCACCACCAGGCCCCAAAGGACCCAAGGCAAGACAAGGCCAAAGGCCAACCCGGCCGCAGCCCAGAGCCACCCGCTCCAAGATCTCGGAGCTACTAAAGTTGCCTGCACGTCCTGAACCTGCCGGTACGGAGCCTGGAGCCATTTGCCCACGAGCTAGGGTCGCTTGAACCCTGTACGAGACAATGTCGATAAAGTAAGCCTCTTTCGCGAACCTCTTTCTTGAATCTCTTTCTCTGAGCTTTCCATCCTTCCCGTCCCGTCTTGTCAACCTTAGCCTTGCCCTCTTGGTCACTGCTTTAGTCCTGCACCGAGTCTTC